CATTAATAAGCACTGGGTATAAGCATAGAATATTTTATTATTTTTATCAAAATCGAATAATATAATTGAATATTTCGATATTTCAATATCGAAAGAACCCCTAAAAATATCCTAAACTTATCATGTGTAACTCAAATCCATTTTCCAAGAAATTTTTTATCATGTCTTAATTATTAAAATCAATTTCTAAAATTAAGTCATTAAAAAAAAATATAATTGATTTTTAAATTTAGAATGCATGATTTAAATTTATCTGCTTTTAGTTGACAGACTGTTTCAAAACTTTGTTGATTCAAATCACTTTCCATTGAGATTATTAAACAAAACCATTTGCAAACCACAATTGATTATTTGTGAATAACAAAAATAATATGATGGAAAAAAAAACAAAAAGAAATACAAGACTTTTAGAAATTTCATTGTGTAGAGCTTTGTGTTCTTTTTTTTTATAAATCTATAAGTTATAAGTATTTTCAAATAGGTACGTACATATGTGTACTATGCTTATATGCGCATACAAAAGTAAATTATATCTGTGTATCTATAAATATTTAAAATAAATTTTATGTAAATTAAAAAAGAAAAGAAAAAAAATGACGTATTTATAAATTAATGCCCTCGTTGTCACAAGATGTCGTTTTAACTAAATAGGTACCCATAGTCGGTTTCTTTTTTTCTTCTCATGTTTTTTATTTTAAATTTTTTTCTATTTGGTAGCTTACGAATAGATTTTACGTTCTTATCTTGATAAGCGCGAAAAAAAACAATGTAAATAAAAAATAGAAAAAAAAATTATTCCATGAATATTCAATGACAAGAACAAATGTGATGTTTTTTTCAAAGATATTTGTTAAATTTTTTAATACTTTTGGTTTTTATATTATGTTGAATAAAAATAAAATGTCATTTTTGACAAGACTTATTAAAATAATTTATATTGTACAGTTACAAGATAACGTGTGTGTATAAAAGTAGTCCAGTAATTTGATGCTAGAGTACACTCAGTATTGGAATGATGTGAAACACTGATTAATGAAACAAGAGAAGTACGACTTATAAAGCCTAATATATCCCAAAATCAATTTAATAATTTTAATAATTTAATAATTTTATAATATTATCATATTGCGAATCAAATTTTCTTACATTTACTTTTTATATAACTACTTCCTTATGGTGAATTATAATACACTCATGCAATATGATGATTTTAAGTAGTAAGTACTATAAAATTAGACAGCATTTGAACTCAGTAGTTAGACAAGATATAATTTTCAATTAAAGAGTTTAGTTTAATTAGATTTTGAATATTTGATAATTGAATAAGATGTTAGATAAAATTTAAAATTTTAAGAAAACACAAAAAATTTGAGTAAACGTAATCCTTATTTTTTGCGTCATTAACATTTGAAAATAAAATCGCTCTCATACGATTATTGCCGCTAATCTTGACAGAGTTAATTTAATTTTGGATTTATTTTTATAAGTCTTATACTAGTAGCAAATTGTGAATAACATATGTATGATGCTTTCCAATAAGTTGTCAAGTATGTCAGTGACTTAACCAGAAAGTTATCAAAATCGCTACTTCAATTCTAATAAGCCGATGATTGCGATATTAAAACGATGATACAATTGAAATTGCATCTTATCCATATCAATGTCATCTACATTTTCAAATTAAAAGCCCTTAATCATATAATACAGTAAAAATATCTGTAAGTAAACCATAACGCTATACCAATGTGTAAAATACAGCAAACGATACATTTTTCTGCATTTTATAATAAATTCTGTTATTTCTTTTCATCTATCGTTCGGCTTCACTCTTTACATGCGGAAAATAAATCTTATTCCACAAAGTCGCCTACAGATAGCACGCATAAAGTATCGGATTATCAAATTAAATTTGGACACTATTCATGATGAAAGAAGAGCGCTTATACTACAACTCATTTGCAGTTCGCACATTCGGAAAATCTTAGCTCTATAATAGTTCAAAAAAGGTAACAACTATATACATCTTGTTAATGCAATGAACAAATTCTAAGATATTTTAACGTTCTGATTGTAACAAAGTAGTAGATTAAGTTATTTCTAATTATAATCAAATATTATGAATTATAAGGATTGCAAGAAGATAATCAACGACAGCATATTGTTCCCATACTCTTACCAAGTCATCATCATCTGTTGGTATTACAGCTCGGGGTGAGCCTTAACCTCGTTCACAATTTTCCTCCATTCCGATCTATCTTGAGCTATAACTCTCCATCTCTGTACGCCGATTTTTCTACAATCTTCTTCTATTTCATCCAGCCATCTAGATCTTGGTCTGCCTCTTGCTCTAGTATTATACGGCGTCGCGTCAAATATTCCTTTTGGCATTCTGTCATCTGTCATTCTTACGACATGCCCCGCCCATCTTAATCTTTGTGATTTTATAGCTTTTATTACGTTTTGTCCATTTATTAATTCTTCCAACTCTGCGTTGGTTCTTCGTCTATATTCATGATTCTCGTCTATTTTGGGACCAAATATTTTTCTTAGTATATTTCTTTCCTCTTACCAAGTAATGTTTAAAATAAATATAAGATTTTATTAAATTCAATTTTGTAACATGAAATCATTGAAAATGAATTTAACCATAAGTATATGAAAGTATATGTGATGTGTGCGGCAAATTTTAGTGACATAGAGATTATAAATTTCGAAATCACGCTCATACACGGATTTATTTTTTATTTTAAATAGAAAAATATACAAAAACGCGAACTTTAAGGTTAATATTAAAATATGTAGGGCTTAATAGCGATTAATATCTAAACAACTACATGTTACTAAATGGAATGTCGCTTGTTTTATTGAAAAATTAAAATAAAAATTAAAAATGAAAAACTTTCAAGATAATGCAAACATTTTTTTTTTTAATAAATTTAAATTATAATTTGTATTTTTTTGTTTTCTATTATTATTAATATGCATTATAACTTCTGTTTAATATTTAAATAATTAATTAAGAGATCATAACATTAAAACAATAAAAACAATAAAAAAACATACTTTAATACCTACATTTTTTTTTAAATTATTAATAAATGTGCCATCCGTGTGATTTTTATCAGTTTGAATATTAAAATTAAATAAAAAGTTGCGAAGATAATTTATTTTTTGTTCTTGTTTTGCTTTTTAATATAAATGATTTTATTTTATCTTAAAGTTTATCTTTTGTTATTTTGTTTAAAACACACGAATTTCTTAAAAATTAATCTATTATATGCCCGATACTCACGTTACGTTATGTAAAATTTATAAGTATCTGTTATTTTAATAAATTAGTATTTTAAAATTTTAAGAAACTTGTCACAAGTATAAGTATATTCGTAGTATGGCACAAAAATTTTATTTTAAGGTTAAATAAAATATTTTATTTGATAAGATCAAATTGAAAATTTTTATATGTGCGGTATTTCTTTTTAAAATTGCTTCTTAAATGATATTTTCTTGTTTTTCATGTATCTATTTAAAATAATAATTAATTTTTTAAAACAACAATCATAAATTTGATAATGCAATTTTTAATATTATAACAATTTGTAAGTTGTTAAATTAATTAAATATTTGAATATTTTAATTTTTTTTGTAAATGATAGGAAAAAAATTTGATATACTTAACTATATTGCATGTTGCGTCAACAAAAAAATCATATAAAAATCACATAAAAATGGCATTAAATTTACTTGAAAATTGCAGAAGGTTACAAAATAAATTTAAGTTCAGAAATTAAAACGCTTTAGAATCCGATTTGCTTAAATATCAATTGAAATTTTTTTATATAAAAATAAAACTATTTTAAATTTTATGGTGACTACAAAACAAACATGAATATAAATTTGATAACAAGTGAGACATTTTTGAATTAGAATTACTCCCATTGCAAAAGTAACATTTTATTACTGAAAAAAATTCTAACTTATTCAGTTAAAAGCAGAAGTTTAAAATCTTATGCTACTAGATATATAAATTGTGACATCACAATTCTTTCAACTTGAATTCACTTAACAATATCTAAACTGAATAAAATTTAATGCAAAACATTTAAAAAAAACCTGCAATAACATTTTGTAAATAAATGTCAAAGTATTAGAGAAGTGTTCCATATATTAAGACTTAGATAAATATTTGGTTCTGACAATTTTTCTTAGTCTCATCAAATAAACTCAATATTGCTCAAAACAACTCTACTTATTTTTCATTTATTTTATTTTTTTAATTTGCTGCCCCTTGAGATATGCAATATTTCAGTTTATAAACCAAAACTATAGAATTTTAAAGTCCTTTTGAGGCGTAATAAAGGGTTTGTGGTTGCCTAATACATTTTTCTATGTGGCTGATACAAATTTAAGATACTTACAGAAATCTAGAATATAAAACTTTTACCCGATACGGAAGATAAACATTCCAAAACATTAAATTTAAAAATTATGTAGCTATTTCTTAGATATTAAGTTGGAACGCGATATCTAATTAAATTAAATCCAATACTACAACAGTTATAATATAAGTAAGACTTAAAAAAAAAAGACGTATAATAATTATTTTAAAATCCATTATATAATTTGATGTTTGCCGACGGAATAATGTAAACTTAAATTTCAATCAATTTCAAAAGTAGCAAAATGTTAATACTAACACTTGTACACTTAAAAATATTATATTTTATAAACTAAGTTTAAGACGGAAATAAGAGTATATGAGAAACAAACTTTCAATTCGCTAACACTATTTAAGAACTTTTTCCATGTAATTAATATTATATTATTACCCTAAACAAATTAATATTCATGTTCCCTTCCATCACAATCGAACAGTAATGCCAATATTTTCAAAATAAAGGATACAATTATTACAATTCGATCATACCGACGGCATTACGAACATTGTTGCGTACAAAATTTTATATAAAAATCCAAATTATACTTATTTCATATAAACTCACCTTGTAATAACCTATTTTCAGCATCAGTAAAACTTAATACCCATGCATCACCTTCCATTGCTGAATTTTTACCTTGTAATGCAATACATTCTTTTGATAACATATCAAAACCTTCAGTCTTTACTTCAGCAACAATATTTGGATGTGGCCATGGTATACCAGGTAATGGCCAATGTGATGCTGAACGTGGCCATAAACCAGCACATTTAAATGCTGGTGTTATTTGTACTATAATCCTTTCACGTATTCTTAATTTAACTTCGGTTGTATCAGCAATCATTTTAACAATATCACGATAGGCACATTTATCACATGCTTGAGCAACTAATGTTTGAAAACGTGAACGTATTTTCCGTGCTGATAAATAACCAGATGCTGTTATAAATTCAACCCATAATGACATTGAACGTTTACGTCCATCACTTAATTTTAATACAGCACAACCAGGTAATGTACCATCATCAACAAAATTTAATACACCCATTTGATTTAAATATATTATAATTTCAAATTCATTTGGTGATATTACTTCTAAACCTTCATAACGACCATTATAATCATTTAATGATGATATAAAACGTGGTTCTTGTACTTCAACTTCTTTAAGAACATCTTGTACGACACGACATACTTCTTGTATTGTTTTATGTATTTGACCTTTACGCATTTGTACACGATCAGCACAATATTTATTCATTTGATAGACCATTTTTGATTGCGCTGCAATCATATCGGATGGTACTAACATGATTTTAAATCTTTTATATTGTTTTTAATGTGTGAATTATTATTTTGTATACAATAAAATTAAAAATATTATTTTTTATATTAAATTTTTTTTAAATTAATTTCAACACTTTTAATATTTTTCGATTTGATTTATATTTCAAATAAAAACATTTTTTGATTTATAATTTTGAATTCACATTCATACTACACACATTCTATGTAGAATTTTCACTTTATTTTTTTATTTGTAATATTTTGATTTTAAGCCTTTTTCCAATTCAATTTCCTCTTAATTATTTTTATATCTACGTAAATGCGCATATAAGAGATTAATTATTAATTTCATTTATTATTTTCAATAGGCTTTTATAAATCTTACACAGAAAAAATATAAAAACTTTTTTCCTCTTTAATCTCAATTAATTTTCTTACACAACCAGAAATATTTTTTATCTAAATCTTCTAGATATTTATTAACTAAATTGTAATAATTAATTAAGCGACGCTCTTGTACTTTATTTTTTATTTTTATATTGTAAGCAAAAATAATTTTTTTTCTCTCTTTATTTTCTTTTAATGGTATTTAAGCGAATACCATGTAGTTATGAATTATCCTTTTATTATAAGCAACATATTTTTTATTTTTTTTCCTTTTTTTACTGTTATACAAGTATGTATAAGAATATAGTTCGAATACCGTCGTCGTTTATTTATATATATATTTACTTGCATGTAAGTATAAAACAACTACTACAAAAAATTACAAAAAATTTTAAACCGGTGGCACACTAAAAATGATAAATAAACTCCGCAACGTACAAAAGCCCACTGACAAAAGATTGAAAAATTGGGATGGTAATCCACCAAAAACAAAAAAAAAATAACAGAGAAAAAATAATGAGCACCACTTTTTTTTCGTTTTCCTCACTTTTCACTGTCCTCTTTGTGTTGATTAATTTTTTTCACATTACGATATTCCCCACTTTTTTTTAACACAGGTAAGAAAAAATTAAGTTTAAATCTAAGAAATTCACATAGGTAGATGTGTATATATGTGTATATTCTTATGTATATATATTTAATAAAATTTCCAAATCATTCCACATACTCGTACCACAATACAAGCACTCGATTCCCTCATTTCACATTTTATCTTCATTAAATTTTTGATATCATACGCGCATACTACTTTATTTAATCTATATTGTATGTGTGTTTGTGGCCGTTAAGTGGTGAATTAATATATTAAAGTATAAAAACTTATTTCACCATGTTGTACAAGAAAATAATCAGAGGTGGATTTTTTTTAATTGGAATATTTTTTTTTGTAAATGTAGATGTGTGATTTTTATCATACAAACGTGTGTAATTTTTTGGAATATTATATGGCTTAGCAGTGTTAGTAATGTTGAATGGAAATTGTAAAAATGCTATTAATTTTGTTTTGTGGGAATTTTTTTTGCGGTGAATATTGTATGGTGCAAATTTTGTTTGTTCCTTTTTTTTCTTCTTTTTTTTTTATTGTAATACTTATAAGCACAGCATGGCGTTAACGGTGTGTCCTTTCTAGCGGTGAATTTAAAATTTAACATAATGGTCGATGACTTTTATTACTATCAAAATAAATATTTTGCTTTTCCCTACTATTTTTTCTTTTTCTCATTATTTGCCTTGAGGATGTAACAACATAATGTACATACTTATATTATATATGTATATAAGTATATAATATGATACATAGGTTGTCGTGGTAACATTGTAATTTTGGAGCAAAAAAAAAGGAAAAAAGAAATTGATACAAAAATATAATTTTGTGTTTAGAAAGAAAAGTGAGTGGATATGTGCACGAGTCTAATGTACATACATTGCAACACATATTGTTACACACGAATTGGTGTACACGATAAAATCATTAATTCGTTGTACTAATATGAATGCACATAAATTACATGCATAAAATAAATTTGTAGATATTTTTTAGTTTAAAATAAAATCACTATTATAATAAATTTTATTATTTAGTTTTTACCCTCTACATTTTATACCTAATGCTAAATTATTGTACATTTTCCACATAAATTTAAAATAAACTTTTTTAAAATAACTTTATTTATTGAAAGGCGCTCTTTAATTGCACTTTACTTAAAAAAAATTATAACATTCTATTCTGAAATTTGATGACACTCTTTAAGTAGTGCGAAAGATTGGAATTTGCCGAAACCTCAGCGAAAATACAGGTCAATGAAATGCAAACTGATTCCTATAAAGCACCGACGTTTCCAAAGTTAAAAATCAGTGTAGACATAAAAGGATCAATGCATTAAAGTTTCTCTGCATAGTTGTTACAAGTTCGTCAGTTAATAGCTGAGATTGAGATTATCAAAGAGCATATACTTAAATATGAAAATATATGGAAATACGTCAAAAATAGCACAGTAAAAGAAAGAAACGTTGCATATCAAAGAAACCGTATAATTACGCAATAAATAAAAGAGAGAAATTGTATTTTGAGAACTATATTTATGGGCAGAATTTATTAAAAGTTTTATTTGTAACTAAATTTTTATTAATTTATTCTTGATGCCCTGAGATCATTGCGTAAATTAGTTTTGTAAGACACACGTAAGTATTTGATAAGACGGTGAACTTGGAGAATTCATAAATGAGAACAATAATTAAAATTTCAAAATAGTATTCCAACTCCACAAATCTTTTCTCATCAGATGCTCAATAACCGACAAAATCAGTGCCACTAAAATTATTCTATTTGACAAAAACAAAAATAAAATATTTTTCTAAAACTCATTTTTCTTTTTTGGAATTATCTACCAATAAGACTATCATAACTATAATTAGAGATACTTAAATTTGTTTTTTCTAATTTTTCTATTTTTCGTATTAAATTATCATAATTTATCATTAAGTGTGGTGAATTCTGATTTTATTCTACACTGACAAACATTTTTCTTCCTTTTTTCAAATGTTTTAACACAACAAAAAACTTTTATAAATTTCCAGAGTGTATTTGTAAGCATAAGTAACAAAATCATAAAAACCCAAACAAAACCAAAATTATTAATTTGCCATCTGCTTAGTCATCTAAATAAATATTAACGCATGCCATATAACACACACACACAAACATACATCCATGATATTAACACATGCATACCCTTAAGAATGGTATACAACAATGGGTATGCAACAATAAAGTAAATACCAATGGATTCCATTACATATTACTTCCATTCATAACATGGTAGATTCTAGTATACATACAATATGAATCCTAACATAATAGTAGCATAGCTACTACTTCAATATAAATACAATGTTGAAACGTCTACGCCGTCGTTATCATCATCGTCAATTATACTGTTGTTGTTACCGCATGAACAGTGGCAGTCAACTCCTCCTTTTCTTTTGTATTATACACTTTAATTTTTTTATGATTCTTATCCCTCTCTATTTATACTTTTATGTATAAAATATTTTATGTTGTTTAGTATGCGTGCTGAGTGTCGTTATACCATCCACATTGAATTAATGAAACAAAAAATAAACATTTTTTTATGGGATGGGACGGAATTAGTGTTTTCACACATATTCCTGTAAATAAAGCATATAGTCGGCATAATTTTTTCATAGTATTTGAAAACAAAAAAATGAATAAAAAAAAGTGCGACAAAATAAAGGTTGATGTTTGTGTGTTTTGCATTTAGAAGAAATGATATTGTTATATTAATTATTAAATAAAAAATAACTGAATTTATGAATATAAATTCCAATACAAAAGGAGCCCCCCGAATTAGCGTTTTTGTTTCCCATGAATATGCAATTGTGAAGAATCTCTAAATCGGTTTAGCTTTCTACGATAAGATTAGAATTTGTAGATTTATAGAATTGTATAACCGGAGCAATATGGTATCAGGCCGCGCGTAAGTACAGGTTCTACTTTAACTTCTCTCTGAGTCCGAAGCGGCAGGAAACCATTACAAATTGACACTTACTAGTAATACAGCAGCGCAAAAAATTCTAGTTGGAAGATTATTGAAAAATTATGCCCATGTGTTTCCTGTTGTGATACAAATCTTGTATCATCAAATGCATTTTTATCATGTTTGAGTTCTTGACAAAAATTTCATTTGTATAATAAAAAACTTCAACTTTAAAAATAAATAAATGAAAATTTATATGGCAATACACATATTTATTAAAAAATTTGCAGTTTCTTAATTCTCAATAAAAAAGGCTCAAATTCTCAGCTTAGATTCAAAATTGAATTTCAGCAATTTTGAACAATTTGTATTGTATAATCACAGCTTACAACGACAAATTTAAATCTTTAATAATGAGAATGAACAAAAAGTTAAAAACTATTAAATTACTATTTGTTTTAAGACCAACAAAACGATTTGAATTCAATTTTTCGGCTCGAAAATATGACATTTTTTTGAATGACAACTTCTAAAAGTCTCTTTTGTATTTTTTATGTTTAACCCTCAAAAATGTCAAAAATTGATGCATGATTAAGTATAATGGGGAGACCTCGGTATACGTTCTGTGGGAGTGTGATTCTTTCACCCATAGGGGAAGGGAAATTCTGGGGGTTTTTGATTTTAAAGTTTTTCAGGAATAAACGACAATTTTTAAGTTCTTTTTATTCAACTGAACCCATCCAGTCGAACTTTATAATTTTAATACAAATATGTAATTTACCTAAATAAATAATTTCGGTCAATAAAACATGAAAATCGGTCATTAAAACCACCAAGTGTTCATATTGTTACGTAACATAATTATTTTTGATTTCACTATTCTTTTAATCGAATCCGCCATCATTTTCAACAAATTCCCCAAAATTACTCCTAATAACAAAATGTCAAATGCACCACGATTTTCTGTTTTTGAATTAACACTGTCATACAATTTAAAAAATTAATGAAAGAAATCACTATTGTTATATCCGTGACATGCTGAGGCTACTATAAAAATATTATATTTATATGCACATTAAGAGGAAGGATATTTTAGCAAGAGTTTTATAAAATTGAATACTGCTAAAACAATGGAAAAATAGGTGGAAGTTGTTAAAAGACTAGCTATTGTGTGTATAAATTTATTCTTTATTCACTTTAAATATATTTTATGTGGTCTGTTTTGTGTTTCATATTTAAATAAATTAGAGTAATAATAAAAAAATAAGAAATAATTTTGTTTTTAAAAAGTTTTCAACCATAGTTGGCGTACCTTTTTTTTTTAATAAACATTTTATTTATTTATTTTTATAAAATAAATTTACCATGTTTGAATTTTTTTTATTTCTTTGATCTTATTATTTTAACTTCTTTTTATTTCATTTTGGGTTAATTCGTATAAATGGCACAAGTCTGGAAACAGGACTGTCATCAAGATTGATTAATGACTAAAATAAAGTCATGGTCTGTGAACATGAAAATATACGATAAAATTTTTTCTTACTTACAATTTATAATTATTATAAATGTAAAAGTATAATATAATATAAATACTAAGTTATGTACTTATTCATATGTATATATGGATATCCTATGAATAGGTACATATGTAAGTATATAAAATTAAATAAATATTAAAATTGTTGTACTATGCTCGTAAATATATTAAAATATTTTTGGGTAAAAGAAAGGAATTTACTAAAATTAATATTTTGATATTCAAAAATGTTGTATTATTTTTTCGCTAGTTAACAAAAAATTATAATTATGGCATGGTGCCATTTAATATGTTGAATATTTTTCTTCTTTAGTCTATAATTATTCAGGAA